TATTGAGAGGACGGCGTTTGACTTTTTTGTAGAGCTTTGCTTTTTTACGCATGCATGTCAATAGACTTTTCGTTATCCAGGGATTATGGGGTGCTGAGTATATTCTTTTACATTTTACTACCGTGACGCTATCATGAATGCATTTGCACATGCGAGACGAAAGAAAATCAAAAGCTAAGTTGGCATCAGTGCATGTTTCAAAGACCAGTCGACATTTGTTACGCGGTTCACATACTCTTCTTTGTTTAGAATTGATTTAGAAAATCTTAAATCGCGATTATGCTTGAAGTTTTTACATGAAAAGAAAACAGGGTAATGGTCAGTAATATTTACTTTAAGAAGCACCACTGTGTTCAGGTGAAAGAAAGTTAGCACAGAACATGGTCGATAAGTGTGCTACGGCGGCCAGGAATGCATCTAGTTGGAAGTGTGATTAAGGACTCGTAACCAAAACCTTGGTAACAATTTGCATATTCAATGCGATTGGAAGTATCTTCAAGTAAATCAATGTTTAAGTCACCCACAATAACAACATTTTACGTTCACATGATAATGTTTCAAGGACAGCATAGAGACATGAAAAGAACTCAGAAATTGACAATGAAGGCAACCGATAGATAGTTCTAATGATAAGTTTACCAGTGGATGAAGGCTTGTCTAGTTCTATCCAAACAGATTCGCAGCTATCGACGGCAATATGAAAGTCAGATCTGCGTTTATAGGGCACAGTAGGTGAGATAAAGATGGCTGCGCCACCATGGCTACTTGATGTGCAATTGCAGTATTCTGACAAGTAACCTTGTAAGCCAAACAAGTTTTGATCTTCTAGTGTAAGCCATGTTTCCGAGATGCAGACGAGGGAAAAGGAACTTTTGAAAGAGTGTAAAAGAGCGTTTATTTCATCATGATTTTTTGTTAGACTAAGCGCGTTAATGTGAATTCCTGAAATGGCAGAGTTATCCAAGAAGGAATCTAAGCTATTGATAATAAAATAAGACGACATGATGACGCGCAGAGTTTTCTAGATAGATAAGTGACCAGATCAATCGAAAGATAGAAAGGTCAGCTTCAGTGCGAATCCGATACACCCTACTTTCGTTTGATTGCCTCGCCTTAATATGGCAATTATCCGTCCAAAGGAACGCCCAACCCTTCTCTCTCTTGAGCGAAAGAGCTTTCGCAAACAACCTTTTGTTTTCTACGGTGAGATGGTCATTTACATACAGAAGATAATGATGAGGGCCTGGGAATCCGAGATCATTCGTGTGCAGTTTGGTCTTGCGAGCCTTGCTTAAAAATTCTTGCTTCTTATCGCGAGAACAGAAGCGCGCGATAATGTTTTTTAGTCATTCTTAGTGGGGACGCAATGAATGACGTCGATGTCAGAATCAAGAATAGTGCGGTAGATTTTAGTAGCCACAGCTTTTACTATGGCTGTGCAATCTTCCCCTTGAGAGAACGGAATTCCCTTTAGTTCTACGTTGTTAAGTCTCGAGTATTGTTCCAGTTCTGACACATGGTTGGTTAAAATTTCATTTTGTTTCTTTAGAGACTTATTAGAGGCAACTAACGTGGCGTTCTCGGAGCGTAGCTCCTCAACAAGCGCATTGAGACCACTGACGCCTGACACGAGGCTCTGTACTTCAGCCTTCAACTTTGACGTCTCTGGTATTAGTGCCAGAAGTTTGGGTTTACATTCTTCAATTAGTTTAGAAGCTATTTCTTCCAGTTTATTTTCAGTCCAGGCCTCAAGCTGTTCAATGCGCTTCGCCAACTCGACATTTGAGGGAATGTTTGTAGGCAATCAAAACAATGAGCAAGGTTGTACAGTGCGGTAGTAATTGCAGAACTAAATCACTCACAGCATTAAATCACTCACGGCAACGCACGATGCCCAAAACAACAAGAAGGCCACTGACCTGCGGAAGCGTTGAAAAACCGTTAGAATAGATGCCGATACGTAGAGCCGTAACTGCTGCTGCAAAGTGACGCTGGGTGAGACGGGCCTCCGCTTTATGCCGGAACACGAGCAGGTGATCAGCGCAGTATATCCACGCAGATGATCCCTTATCCACCAAGGATAGCCGACACTGAAATTCGTGTAGAATGCACGAACACAGATGGCTCAGTCAGGTGGTGAAGCAGGTGTCGAAAAGCTGAAATGGTCGGTAGCACAGGTCCACCGAATTGCTGGCAACCGTCGTCCAACAGCACACTTGATTTCTTCGGAATCGTCCAAAAGCCTGCGGAAGCGTTGAAAAACCGTTAGAATAGATGCCGATACGTAGAGCCGTAACTGCTGCTGCAAAGTGACGCTGGGTGAGACGGGCCTCCGCTTTATGCCGGAACACGAGCAGGTGATCAGCGCAGTAGATCCACGCAGATGATCCCTTATCCACCAAGGATAGCCGACACTGAAATTCGTGTAGAATGCACGAACACAGATGGCTCAGTCAGGTGGTGAAGCAGGTAGGTGCGAAAAAGCTGAAATGGTCGGTAGCACAGGTCCACCGAATTGGTGGCAACCGTCGTCCAACAGCACACTTGATTTCTTCGGAATCGTCCAAAAGCCTGCGGAAGCGTTGAAAAACCCTTAGAATAGATGCCGATACGTAGAGCAATAACTGCTGCTGCAAAGTTTGCTTTCTTTACTTGTGCAACAACATAACCAGCAAGGTACTTCAAGGATTCATGTTCTAAGTATTGAATATCAAGGAGGTCAGATGGATGAACAACAAACATTTTGCTTTGATTCGATTTGTTGTCAACGGCCATGCCAGAAAAGAGAAAGCAGTGTTCTTCAGTGTAGCTGACGTCATTACTTGGCCTCAGAAACTGAACCATTGTAGTAGCTCGAAGCGAAAACTTGAATTCGAGTACATGAGGCACCGGCTTCTTAAACCTTAGTGCAGAAAAAATATTCTCTAGGGCATTTTGGCCGAACCTGCTCAGGAACAGAATCTTGAAGTTGCACTTTTCAAGAAACTGTGCGTGCAGTTTCAACACTGATGTTGTCGCTAGGATAACGCCAGTCTGCATCGGTTTCCAGGTGGCTTTTTTATCCCCTATACATATATTTTTTTTTAAAAAGTGCAATTGTTTCTTCAAGAAACTGAAGGATCCTTCAATACTCAACATCATCAAAATGGCTCAAAGCCAGTTTTGTTGCTCGGGATGTAATGAGTCTCAACCATCGAAACATCCTCTCAAGAAACCATGCAGTTGTCAAGGTTGGTTCATCTAATGTTCCATTATCTACAAGCAAACGTACTGCAGCAGCAGTGTCGTTGTTGATAAGGCTGAATGCTGGCCCCACCTTCATTTTATCATAACGGTTGGGGTCAACTGAAAAAGGCTTCAGGGATGAGATAGCTTTAGCTCTGCATTGCTGTATATCTCGACAAGCTTCTTCATAGGCTCGATGGATATTTCATTTCCTGGCAGATTGTTTTTTTTTTCACTAGTTCTTCGGGTAAGTATTTCTTATGGCCCTTAGTTAAGTGGCTCCTCAGGTTCTTAAGGAGATCAGGAACGTCAGCCGTGAGAAAACGTTGCCTAGATGCATCACATGGGCGGGGACACGAGGTTTTAGGCTTGCTGTGCTTGCCTACACTTATACCGAACAGTTTCCAGACGGCTTGGTTCCCCCCTCCCATTTCTATCACCACAACATCTACTTTCAGGGAAAGTGCCTCCCATAATTTTATGATGACAATGATTATATCCTTAACTGCTTTGGCATGAAATGATTTTCCAGTCAAATGGTAAGCAACTGTATGCTTCCAGCGGGTTGTTGTCCCACCAAGCATAAATACCAGCCCATGAGTTGCCAAACAATCGGGTGGCAGTGTTCCGTCTGCAAGAGGTATAGTTGGGGCTCCAAGCACTGTTGCCGAGGATGGGTTGTACACTAAGCCTGGTGCAAGCTGCATTTCATCTTGCATTAAAGTGACGTGCTGCTCCTCTTGTGACATGAGGCTAACCTATGGAGTGGAAAGGTGTAGTTAGGCGATGCAAACAGTGGCGCTATGGTAATAAGACAGGTCAAGGGTCATGGGCACCTGTCTGTGCACTACCTTTAGTGCGAGAGACGCCATGATGTCTTCCAGCAAACCTGGTGTGAACTTGTACCCTTCCAAGTGACGATGTAGGGTGCGTTCGGTTGGCAGAGGTTGTCCAAGCTCCCTGACTGAGTCATGGCCACGTGCTCCACAAAAAATCTCATTTTCAATGCCTTTATTACTGGTATTCTTAGTCCATCGAGTCCCCTACATTGTTACCACCTTCACAGATTAAACTTGGTCTTCATTCAAGTATTTGTTAAATCCTGTGACAAGGCGCTTATTTGCAGTTAGTGCCTGCAAATGCTGCTTCTGAGCAAGTTGAAGCTGCTGTCGCGTCGCCTGAAGTTCAGTTTCAAGCTGGGCCACCCTCTTCTGTAGAGCTGCTTGTATAAAGTGGCCAGCAATAGAGCACCTAAGTTAGGCCGAAAGCAGTTGTCAATCCTGAACATGCAAGAGCGGGGCCTAGGTGGTGCTTCTTATTGAAGATGTCACGCTGATACAGAAAGCGCATGCATGGAACAGCCTGTTTGCTGTTCTCTGTATGTGTATTCTGTATTAGTGCAGTATCTCCACTAGTTTTACATAGCATTGTTAACAATGCGTTGCTGACAGCAAATAAACTGCATGAGAGCAGGAAAGCTCAACACAAAAACATAAGATAAGTGCAGGAATATCTAACATTCCCGCATGTTTTTTCTCCCTTGTTCCCTTCATGCAGTTAATTTTCTTTCACTCTGCCCAAGTTGCACACAAATTGGTGCTGTTACGGGTATAATGTATTGCTATTTACGAAACAAAGGGCCTCAACCTCCTAGTATTATGAAAACTTGCATTCAAAGAACGGTTGTGTCAGCTCTCGTAAGTATGTCGCTATGCGCAAATGAGGCATTGAATGATGGCACACAAAAAAAATTTGAACAAAACTGTTTAACTCACCAGCCTGCCTACTTTCTGTCGGGAATGGAGCAGAGATCTGTGGCTCTAGTCGCATGTCAGGAACATCTGCCTGGAGCACAAAGCAAGTTGACAACCAGAAATGTAGAGAGGCATTGGTATCTCGCATGCGGAATACATATGCTTTGGGCCACACAAAGTATCTGCCTGTTAGCTTTGATTAGCTGTAGATACATCTATGTGAGACGCGATGGTAAGTTTGAACCATGTTTTGCAACATAAAATATTGAAAATACAAAATATAAAATATTTCTGCGCTGTTTGCACGGCATATCTCAACGGTATGTGAACAGATGAGCATAAGCATGCAATTTACCAACTGATGTAAAGGTAGGAGCTCGCAGACGGGAGAGACTTACCATTCTCAGTGTCCACTGGCTTGGGTTCGACATCGACCTGTGTGTTTTGCTTGACTTTGGTGTCATCTGGGTAGGATACATGAACATAATTATAAATGATAACTCAAGGATTGTTTTCATTGCAATAATCAAATTTGACTTGAACGCGGTCGATAGCATTCACGAACATTTCTCCAAATGAACACCCTGAACATACCAGTAATGCCCACTCTTGTTCTTTTAAGGGGTGGCTAGCGTGGCTTTGCTACTGGTCGATGCAAAAAAGATGTTTGGCGTCGCAAATGGCCTTAGCTTCTTTTCAGCGGGATTCTTCAGAATAATCGGTTCAAACTGGTCTTCTGTAAAATGATCCTGTAGCAGAGTTGGAAACGACTTTCTGAACGTGTGAAGCGAAGTTAACAACGCCCGCAGAGATACAGAAGTCTAACAGTAGAACTCACTGCTGAAATTTATTACTTTTAGTCGCTATAACAAGCATAATAACTGCTGGGTTTTACGTGCGAAAACCACGATTTGAATAAGAGGCATGCCGTAGTGGACTGCTCCGGTAACTTTGAGACTACCTGGGATTCTATTACGTGCACTTAATACGCACCGTACACGAGCCTCTAAGCATTTCACCTTCATCAAAAATGCGACCGCCGAGGACGCGATCGAAGCGCGTAATTCTGATCAGCAGCCGAGCATCTTAACAGCAGTAACTGCCATACAACGGTGGCGGACAAATTTAGATAGCGTGCAACACAATGTCGATATCTGTCAGCGAGTGAGTGCGCTTCTCTCGCTTTATTTACTGGCATGATAGGCTCGTAGTGCACGACCTACGTCAGCAGGTTCGTAAAGCACTAAAATGAATAATCGTGGCAAGTGTGGGCTATAAAAACCAGCGCGCATGAATTAAATGCTATTGCAGCTTGGCAGATGCGCGCGTGTGCGTTTTCTTGTGCCTTTGTTTCGCGTTACTCACCTCGCATAGTCGTGGAGTGGCCGACGGCTCGAAGTCTTTCCGTCCAATCCTGTGCAACCACACTTTTCTTCTGGTTAGGTTCTGTTTGCCCCGCGGGATGCGAAATAACTTATTGCCGTCTTCCGTCCAGTTTCGGCACCCAAACGCACAGGAACAAGTCATATCAAACCCTCCAGAACGAAATCACCGCACAACGAGCATAGCGGAACAGGCGAAGTCAGCGCTGTCCTCCCGGAGCACGGAAATTTTCATGTCGGAGCAAGGTCACGTGTGACAGATCAGCCTATCACGGGCGTCGTCGGCTTCGTAAAAGCTTTTCGATACTTTTGAATTAATTGAGGGATTTTAGGAGCACCTACCGAGGCAAAAGCGATGCGCGGGAGCATTTCCAGAGGAACCACGAAATGATATTAAGGGGATTAGTTCTGTTTTCTTCCGGTTCCCCTCGTCCGGCGATCACCGGGGGAAAACCGCGGAAAACGAACGTATTTGATTCGGTACAATCCGGTTAAGTGAGGTCAGTGGAGCAGAGTGGGCGCATTCTTCCCAAATTCCTCCCGCCTTGGTATATTTTTGTTTACAGTGTATTATTAGCTACGACGACCTAACAGCTTGACCAAAAAGAAATGTTGTGCGCGGGCAAACGAAAATGCCCTCGTAGTGCTTTAGTTTTGCATAACACTTGACGAACCTCTGTTCTCAGATACGTGCCATAGAAATGCCGGCGAGTGTGATCGGCGGCAGTGGGTGACTGTAGGCGTACGTTTGCTGGAAGTGCGTCCCGTCGGTGCTCTCGTTTTTTCTTGCGCTGAAACCGTAGATAAGTAAAGCATATCACGGCAACCACACGAATTTAATACTGCTGAGGAGGTGTTACCGTAAATCGCCCGTGACATTGACCACTCACGCATGTAAATGAGTTACAAAGTGGTGCAGAATTGCATACAACGTTTTTTTGCCATAAATGGTGTGCTGGGTTGTGAATTTTGTTTTGCCTTCTTTGATACTGCCTTGTAGTAACGGACCTAACTAACATGAAGTTAGCAAAGACGCAATGTGTGCACGCTCGTCTGGTGGTTGTTAACGTTATTGCAGTCATACGAAAGCATCGTAGTGCATAATAAGACGTAATCTACTACTCAAGCCAGTCGTTGACTGTGATGAGTATAGTCTTCATCTTCATCGTCATCATAATCATCATGGCGTGTAACGGGTACCTTTCATGTTCTGTGCCATGATAGCAAAATGTGTGATGCACTGTGCGCGTGTTCTTAATCCTCATCAGCATCAGCGTCATCGTTAGAGGCAGCTACTGCGTTACAGCGGACAGGTTTCGTTCCAAAGCTGCTTCGTATTATAGTGAGCAATATGAGCTCGAACAGACGAACGCGCGTCAAATAGTCTCAAACCCTACAACGGCTGATTTGCAGTGGCCGCTGTGGGAAACAAAGTGGAAAGGGCGGCGCACCTACACCAGCTGTTGACACCCCCACCTCAATATTGTTGCTGCAAAACGCAGCTTCCGTCGCGTCAGGGGCAGTGGCTGCTGTTGGTCATATGAATTCACATCAACGCGCATAGTCACAATCAGTTGACGTAGCAGACTGTGAAGCTACAAAAACATCGGCTGTGACGTAGCCGGCCGCGATGCACAGGCCCTGTTTTTATTAAATCGCTGAGCATCTTGATACGCATCCTTGTTGTCGGTGAATTTGTTTTCGTTTTCATGTTATCATTGGTCGCGGCCACAGGCCCCCGATAAACTGCCGTTTCACAGCAACAATCATGCGGCTATAATGATGCGGGAATGCCAACAGTCAGCGGAAGAGTGCCCTTCTTTCCCTTCCAGTTTCGGCAGCGCCATCCTCGTATCATGTTATCTGTATTTTAAGGCTCTTGGCCACGCACTCGTGCGTTCGAAACTCATATTTCTCACGATAGAACCTAAGAATGCTTAATTTAGGTTAACTGACGCCACAGTCTTGCTGAAAAGTCATTTGTGGTGGACGAAACTGTATCTTGAAACCCGCAAATACGATTGACAGATGGACTTGGTCTATTCACTAGGTCTCAGACTTGGGTGCAGATAATAGTGATGGGACAGTGAAAATTGTACTTGCTTCGCCTGACCGCGTTGCATGTCGAAACTAAAAGCATCTGCAATTGGGCGTCACATGCACAATCACTCTAAACATAACGCACTGCTAATGTTATCGACAGTGCAAGAATTGTCGTAATTTCGTTCTTATAGCATGACAGCATGGCGATATATTCAGTGGTGGTTCTATCCTCGTCGACCCGTTCCAAGAAAAAAACTTAAAATCAGATGTCATTTATTTATTGACACCTGCGTGGGGATGTGACATCATTTACTGGCGCTGTTCACACGGACACCTCTAGCCTTCTAAGAATCACAATACAGCAACACATTGCAAGTATCAAAATGATGATTTACGTGCACAAGCAGGTATTATGGCGCGAAATAAAAGAAGCAGACCAGAAAGCGGAATCAATGGCTTTCGGTTTCTTTAAACTGAAAACGTATTGCTCAGCCCTATTTAGAAGAAAAAAAAGTAATGATTGATTTTGTATACCGCCATTATCTACCGTGCTTTGAAAACGCCACCTTAATTCAGCTTGTATATTATTCCATCCACCCAGTGCAAGTAGTCAAATCTTCGAAGAAAGTTGACCTCGTCGGGAATCAGGAAGACGATGTAGAGCAGTCCCTGACCCAGTCAAGGTGAAAAAAATAAATAGGAAGGTGTTGTGGAACGTATGTGGGTTCTCAGTTCACATTTAGCAGGCACGAGCCGTACATAGCTATTCATGCAAAAATGTGTCGCCATGAACAGGTGTACCTGGCAGCTAGTGTCTAGTTGTAGCGTTGATACTGTCCTCAGTCTAGATAAAAACAGAATCTAAAAGAAGTCTTTTATGTGAATTCTTTTCCCTGGCTGTATCGGTGGTGTTGTTTCAATTTATTAAATGACAACGATTATTGGTTTGTTTGGCCAAGGGGTTCGACGCTTTCCTGTCGTTAACCACGTTCCATTAGTGTTCCTTTAATCACATGGTGAAGATTCGTCAAATCTTGTTCACTAATTGGGGAGATCCTCTGACGGAAGCGATAGATGACAGGTATTGCAGACGCCATCGCACGCAGCCTTGTGTCTGTTGTGTTCCCACGACTGCACGTACAATAATATAGTAAAGATAGTTAGACACACGCCAAAGAAGATGAAAATGCACGCATATGACAGGTACGTGAACGTTAATATAAAAACAAGCGTTACAATATGACACACAAGTACCTTTACCTTCACATCTCGCACAGTTCTTCTGAATCTGCTCTGACGAAAGAGATGGATGACAGGCATCGCAGACGCCAGCGCACACAGTCTTCAGCGTGATGTGTGCCCACGGCTGCACAATAAATATGTAAAATAGTGAGTCACACGTGACAGAGGATGAATACAAATGCATATCAGAAATACGTGCAAGGTGAAATGGAAACATACGTGAGATATGACATGCTAATTATTTCACCGTGATGTCACACATCGTCAAAGACTCATCTCGATCTTCGTAACGCAACAGCTTAGGAGCGGTGGCCACACTCACAACTCCGCAAACCACCATGCCGCTAACAATTCGGCGAGTCCTAAGTGAGCGACATCGTTCAGCTCGAGCAAGCGAACACGAGCCCAAATACGGCGCTGCACGCGGAGTGTCTGCCGCCAGCCAACTTCGAATAGGAGAGCGAGGGTACGCTTGGCCACCGCCACGAACAGCGCCGAGCTGGTTTGGAGCCAGCGCCGAAGAAATCGACGGTAATACAGCCCTTTTCCACAAACTCCAGCGAGTGCAGCGCGCAAACGCGAGTCCACCGCCACGGCCAACGGACTGCGCTGAGCTGCTTGCGACCGACTGACGGGAAAGCCAACTGTAATAGCGAGCAATTTTCAGTGAGTTCCGACGCTAGCTAAAGCCCCGCCAGCCCGTGCTGGTGCACTTACAGCGCGTGACATACTAGAACCATGCTCTTTGCGGGAACCCGCAACAGGTTTTCGATGACTCCCAACAGCGCGACGAGATCTCAGCCCAATATCGTCAGCCCGGAGCCCATCGCGGCGGCGAAGACAGGCGAGCACTCGATGATCGAGCGTACGGGAGGCCGATGGCAATGGCAGCCAAATTCTAGGCGGTCGCAAAGCACAGGCGAACTGCAGGCGCCGAAGCTGATCTTCGCGATGCATTTCGTGCGTGCGATATACAACACGACCGAGCCCGTTACCGGCAAGCGCGATTCGTATCGCACACGCGACAATTAGAGTAGAATAAAGAATGATAACCTACTTGTCTGAAAATCCAGCGCTGATTTCGCCCTGAGTCGGGCTGAAGTATATATCCGATAGGCCTGTTGTCTTCTCGGCCGCTATATTGGCTCTCCCAACTGTTGCTGTCGTGTGTTGGTCTTGA